ACATTTTTGGCCCCCGCCCCTGAACTAAATGATCCCCCTCCACAGATCAGTGCTTACCGAGATCAGACGGGCATGGGTCCCTCTGCTGGCCACACCTGCACATTACAGCCCCATAGACTTCTATGGGGTTGTCTCCCAGCAGACAGCGGCCAGGAGAAGGAGACTAAGGCCCCGCTCACATCAGGGCAGTTCGGCCACGCTGATCCGCCGACATGAACGATCCCATACATTGCTATGGGGACCGATTATTTGACAACGCGGCTCAGCGCTATCCGAACTGCTCCCCGCGCTATTATTGCGGCGCTGATCAGTGCTGTTTCCATACAGCTTTCCATGGCACCGCGCTGATCAGAGCGGTTTTGGGCGTTTTTTTAATTGTGTTTCAGCGCTGATCCGCAGCCGACCTGCTGTGACTGGGCTCTTGGGCAATATCTATTGTAAGCCGCTGGCATCCTTTTAGTGTGGAGCAGGAAACGGTCTGCGTTACAAAACCTGCCTGGGATCTGATGGCCACCCTGACACCTCCTGTCCTCCCTTCTTACAGCAGAAAAAAGCTTCGGGAAAGAAACGGAACCAGTCCATGGGGAACAAGAGCATGTCCTACTTGGGGGGGAAATCCGAACGGTAAGTGGCATCTCTTCTGCTTTTATATCGCCATATAGAGGGGGGAGGGGCAGATTCAGTCCCGCTACATAAAACCACCTAATGTAAGAAAGGGAAGCTTGAGGTTAGCGAATCCTGAACTGGCAGTACTGGAGATCAGAGGACTGGGAAGCTGGCTGTCACATGACTGGATTAATGGGAGCCAACCACATTTTTTTTAGATCGAGTGGGAAAGGGTTTAAACCAGATTGTTTTTAGCCATCTGTGAACCATTGGGGAAATGTTTTCACTTCCTGTCCCATAGATGCAAAAGAAAGTTGGTGTAAATCTCTGCAAAGTGAGGGGAATTCCCTTCTTAGTTGTCACCTGTACTGCTGTCCCCATTGGAATATTTCCTCCTAAATCTTGTTCTGGGGACAACTCTAACATTTTGGATTTCCTCTCACGTTCTCTATTGGTGACCAGGGTCACCAGGATCTATAAGGCCCCTTCACATTGAGCGATTTATCGTGCGGTAATTCCCACTATATTGCGGCAATTTAACCGCGCGATATCGCTCTCCAATGCTTCTCAATGGGGCAAAGGGTCCTGCTGTCGCGGGTCGTGCGTCGCTACAGCAGGACCCTTTTTGGAGCGGATTTAGCCGCGGTTCAAGCTTGCTCAATGCAAGCATTTGCGTGATATCGTGCAAAATGCAAATCGCGCGACAAACGCGCAATTTGCGAACCGTTCAATGTGAACGGGGCCTAAAGGGTGAATTGCCCCAGTGAGGACACAGCAATGAAAGCTTGACAGAAGGTCTGACCCTTCCCTACTTCATCCAAAACTAAAACAAATCCCATAAATGAAGTATTCAATTATCATGTAGACGTTTGATATGGACGATGGGGGTGATAGTTCTATTACTATAGTGGCAGTTACTCCGAGGAGCTCTGTTATCAGAGAGTGAATGCTCCCGACGTTCCATCACATTCCGTGCACAATGTCGCCTCGCATCGGATTATCGTCTTTCTTTGTGAAGGAGAATTGAGTTCATAGAAATTGATGAATGTTTATTTTTCCATCCAGGGGCTTCAAACACAGCCGGCCGAAGAGATGAGCGCTGCCCCCTGTCTGTGGGACGCGGAGCTGCAGAGTTTGTCGCCGCTTGCTTTTTTTTTTATTTGTATTAAAGTTTTAGTCAACAGACGCACCGCGTAGCTTCGTGTTCACTTTGTTTTTGCTGCTCAGCACTGAGCCACGTGTTTCATCCACCAGATGTATTCTCCTGTATTCTGTAAAGGTGACGCCTGATATATTAAAGGAGAACTATGAGGGGAGTGCTTTTCACTCACCTCATAGTTCTAGCCGACCTGTGACAATGAGACTGTCACAGGTCGGCTCAGTAGATCGGGAGGTGAGCGAACACATACCGGCGTTCGCTCACCTCTCGATCCTGTCACGGCTCTCTGCCGTGACAGGGGAGGGGCTGGATTCCCCCCTCCCCGCTCCGATCCGCCAGCGCTGACTGGTGGAGCGGACGGGGGAGGGGGCGGGTACAGCTGGCTCTGCCTCTAGATAGGCAGAGCCAGCTGTCACTCACGCAGCTGGGCGGATCCAGACATAATTGTCGGGATGCGCTTCAGCTGCAGCGTCTCAGTATACCGCGAGCTACAGCTAGTTTGTGTCCTCCCGTTACTCTATGGGGAAAAACCTTAACCCCATAGTTCTCCTTTTTAAATATGTAATTTCAGAGATGGCTTGAGGCAGAATGGGACCGTGGGCATGTTAATACATTCCCTCCCATGTCTTTGATTGCCATTGATAAGGATTGCACCTCTTTGCATGGCCTGTACTGCCCCAATCACATAACACTGCCTACAAGTGCATGCTCCCTTGTGCAAGGCCAGGCGGGCGCTCGCTTTGAGCAATCCTCAGCGCTATGCAGGAATAAGAATGTTGTACCTGTGCCCTCAGGACACCCCACAGCCCTAGACTCCTGCCTAGCTTGCCTTGTGATTGATCCAGCTCTCTACAGCCTTCGTATGACCACATTTATAACCAACCAGAAGTGGAAGAGCAAAGAACAGCCAATCCAGTTCAAAGGTTCGCTCTCCCACTGTCATTTCCCAGTGCAGGTTACGCCGGTATGTGTTCGCTCACCTTCCGATCTACTGAGCCGACCTGTGACAGTCTCATTGTCACAGGTCGGCTAGAACTATGAGGTGAGTGAAAAGCACTCGCCTCATAGTTCTCCTTTTTTAAAGTGACACTAAACTCCGGAGTTAAATCTCATAAATCCATCCGAGTCCCTAATAAAGATGTACCTTATTTGTGTATCACTGGGCTGTAGATCCTCCAATCATCTCTGAATTGGTGCTGACACTGTCCTTCCTTCTGGAGGGGGGCCATGTCTGTTCCCCATGGTCCTTGTGTGTGTTGTAAAGTAGTCACCGCTCCAAGCTCGCTCCCGGGATGGACTACAAATCTCAATACAAATCCGTAAACTAAACATGAGATTGTAGTCCATCCTGGGGCGGAACTTGGAGCGGTGACTACTTTACAACACACACAAGGACCATGGGGAACAGACATGGCCCCCCTCCAGAAGGAAGGACAGTGTCAGCACCAACTCAGAGATGATTGGAGGATCTACAGCCGAGTGACACACAAATAAGAGACATTGTTGCTCAGAGTTTAGGGACTCGGATGGATTTTGGAGATTTAACTCCGGAGTTTAGTGTCACTTTAACCCTTCCTGAGCAGCAATGGTAAATCCATGTAATTGGGAAGATTTAGGCTCTTGATATGAATGTGTCGCCCGCCTTGTGGGAGCGCAGAGCCTGCTGCCTGCAATGACGGGGGGAGAATCGCCTGACATTTTTCTGTGTCCGGCTTCACGCGCACACCAATAAAAAGTTCCCGCCTTCACTTTATTTGGATATCTGCATTTAGCAGAAACGCAACGTAGGCAATAAACTTTCCAAACGAATGATGAGATTTTATTTAGGTTGTACAGGAAGCCAACATTTCAGGTTCTGCTTCTCCGCGGCTGAAAATATTTGCAACCGTGGAAAAGCAGCCGACCAGCCTGCGGTCATAGCGATATCTCTGGATGTGGCTTCCTCAGATCCTCCTAAAACCCGACACAGGTTCCGATCATCCCGCACTGTATCCAAAACTTAAAAAAAAAAAAATGTTTGGGCCGGATAAGCACTGTAATGGTGTCATGCAACACATTCGCTTTGTCCACCAGGTTATGGAACAATTCCTCCAATGTGAAAGTGTCATCCACATGAAATAACAAAGTCTTAATGTTAAACTTACAAATATTTTTTCCCTAATGAATCTGGATCAAGCAAATAGACATCTCCCTGCACAGTATTTCTTTATATTTTTTGCTCAAGCACTAACAGTCATCATGTTTGTGAACAGCTCCAACTCTCTGGGCTTGGCTCTGCGTCCTTGAACTTCCTGTCCAGTACCAGATCATAAGGGACAGCAATCTCCAGCAGCTGTCTATTTACTAGCTTGGGGGAGGGGGGGGGGGGGGGGTGTGTGTGTGAGTGCCTTGCCTTGCTGTGTTTGTGGAGATGCACACAAGGGTGACTCCATAGGACCCTGCGAGGGAAAGGAGTCACCCTAAAATGCATCCACAACGCAGAGACATGTTGCGTCTCTGCATTGGGCAGCCACTAAAGACATTTACATCCCTGCCTAAAAGTCATTGGCATCAGTCAGAGGCGTAACTAGAAACCTCAGGGCCCCTGGTGCAAGAAACCATGATGGGCCCCTCGCAGCCAATTGACAATTCAGCCCCCCCCCCCCCCCCACATGGCGGAACGTCAGGGCCCTGTCCCGTGGTAGTTCCGCCAGCGGCATCAGCCAGTTTACGCAGCTATTAATCTGCTTTAGAATTGCCGTCTGACATCAACCTGAAGGAGATTGTACAATCAGATTGTGACATATGGAGTCATGTGATGGGCTGGATAGATACATTGTGTGATTTTCACATCTGCACTGAGAAAATACAGATTTCCATGGCTAGATTCTTAAAGGGATACATCTGGGGAGTTCAGACTTCACTGGCTGCATGATTGTTGCTGATGGCAGATTAAGGTCACAGCAAATATAATTTTTCCCAAAAACGGATCAGCAGCTGCTGCATTTCTCTCAGTACAGGTCCACCTTTAAAATCAATGCAAACGTGTGTGTTGAATCCCCGGGCCAAAAAATCCTCTAGACTTCCATTCTTTGCGCTGACAGGTTCTCTTGAAAGCAGATGAGGCCGCTCCTCTGTGAGGCAGCCTCCCCGCACCGGGGGCCGCGGCACTCCTGGCACTCGGCCATTTATCTGCCCCTATTAAAGATGGCGGCCTCAGCCCGCAGGTCACCACGTG